ATGCATGGTCTAGAATATTTACAAGAAGTTAAGAATAAAGAAGTGCAAACTGAAGGGTTAATTTCAGGCAGAACTGCACTTTTAAATGGTTGGGAAGGGGAAATGGGTCCCGTGCCTGGCTTTGATTCTCCAGATCTAGGGAGGCCTAAGTGGAGGGCCAGAAGAAGAGGAAGAGAAAGCTACCTGCTTAGGGAATTGCCCCTTAGGTATTGAAATCCTCCATAGGACTGTATTTTACAGATGGCTATTTGGGGTCTGAATATTCTTCCCACTCCATCCCTCCCCACAAGTCAAGTAAGACTTCTTTGAAGAGCAGTGCATCTGTCCTGCCCTGCTAGGCTGTAAACAAAGTGCTTGGCTCGTGGGGGAGTGTGGTCTGTCCTTGCTCTCAACTCACTAAGCAACCTGTTGATGAGCTTGTAATTACCAGAACTGTGTGCTACACAATGAATGTTCTTGGGGATTTTAATGGTTGGAGTGAATGAACAAGCTTCAACATTTGGAAATGTGCTTGAGAAGAATAATTACTTTAAAGTGTTTCATAAATTGTTGCTAGGAGACCACACCAAGATGGGCCTTTTTACTTGTAACTTGAAGCTCAACTGGCAGAAAATTCTCCCATTCAAAACATAGATAAGCAAAGGGAACAATGAAAAAAAGAAAAATAAGATAAAAGATAGAAACCTACTGGCTGCTAGGGAAAATCTTCTACTATAAAATAAGGAAGAACAAGAGGCAAGACAATAGTGATGGCCAAGACAATAGTGATGGCAGTTTTGGGTTTGCATTTCAGTTCTTGTTAGTTATGTGATCTCGGGCAATTCTGTACGTGTCTTTTATTCTCAGTTTTCTGATCTGAAAAATGGAGCAATCAGTAACTCTTACAAGACTGGAGGTAACAAAGATGTGAATATACCCAACAAATAATGTTCAATATTTTAGTTATTTATTTATATACATTTGTTACAAAATATGCCTTACAAAATTATTTCCTGTCTTAGTTTCAATCTTTCCTCCAAAATCAGTCCCTGACACAAAAAACTGGAAATAGGTGGCTTATTTGGGAGGTGATCCCTGGAAGCTCAAGTGAGATATAAAGAAAATGAAACTGAAAGGAGAAGCCAATAAAAGTTGCATCAATGAGCAAGAAAGACCACCGAGGGTCAATCTAGTTGGGAACCCTCTGAAATACCAAGTAGAACACACCCTAGAATTGTTCCATGAAGGCATGGGAAAACTGACTTTTATCAAATGACTTTTATTTCTCAGTGGTTGAGAGTTGCCATTGGGCACCTGAAGTCCCAACACCTCCATGGTGTCTGAACAGTAATTTCTGATGGAATAGAAGGAAGCCCACAGGCAGAGAGGCTAGGAACCATGACACATGAGGTGAAACTAGGACTGTTCCACTATAACTGCTCGTGAACTTGAAGGTGGACTGGAGGGATATGGGATAAGACAGCAATAGAATTCAACACACTTGGGATTCAACAAAATAAAATTAGTCCATGAAGAAATTAAAGTAAAAAAGGAACACATACTCTGTATATGTCACTGAATCTTAAAAGAAGGAAGAAAGAAATGAAGAATGAAAGGGAGGAAGGAAGGAGGGAAGGAAAGAAGGAAGGAAGGAAGGAGGGAAGGAAAGAAGGAAGGAAGGAATTTTGTAGATAGGCTGGCTGTGATGACTAATAACTTTTTTCCTATTTTTCTAGATGTTCAATCAGTAAAATAGCCCGGAATGCAGTCAAGGATTCCATATTTGTGTGGGCAATACATGGCGGAGCAAATCTTTTACATATGGAAGTCCCTTGTTAACCAAGATTTAGGGGATCACCAACATTTTTTAGGCTTCAACTATGGCTGGATGAGAGGCTGCAAGGATTAAACTTTGGGAACAAAATTGTATTTGGAAATTACATTCCTATTCTACCTGGGTAAGAAAGGAAATACTTCAGCTGCTTTCCTACCTAGTAATCCCTCCCTGGACCAACAGCTGTTTACCATCTGGATCATTGGCAAACCAGGCAGGGGTCAGACTTTGCACTCCCTGGTATGGAAGAGCAAAAGCAGTTAAATGTTACCCATCAAAGTTTTCTTATCTCCTCCCCACCCAACCCTAGGAACGGCTTTACCATGATGTCCCTATAGAAACAGAAAGCCATGTTGCTGACACTAATAGAAAGCAAGAGTATAAGGTAGGGCAATGCCCCAGGACAGAGCAGAAAGACTGGCAATTCCTCTCTTAGACCCCAGAATCTCAGCTCCCCTTCCAAGAATCCTAAAGAAGAGAAATGGAAGTCTGAGAACAGATGAATGAACAACAAGCAAAAGAGAGACCCCCAGACATTATATGCCCCAGATGGAAGAATGCAATACTACTTATGAAGCAGTCTAGCTAAAAATTGAAACTAAGTCTAATCAACAGTCTAGTTTTAACTACCAATATACAAAAATGCCACAACAGGGATGAGTCAGAAATCCAGATCAGAGAACTCTATAGAACAAACCAAATGTCTTTAACAAATAAAGAAAGATTTATAGATTAAAAGAGACCTACAAATATATAACTAGTTGCAATGTGTGAATCTTATTTAAATAATGAGGATTGTTTCAATCTTCATTCAAACAAATTATTTTTAAAAATTATGAGTTTATGAGAAAGGAGATTTGAAGACTGACTAAATGTTATGACATTGTGAATAGAAATGTACTATGATATTGTTAATTATTTGAGTCATGTGTGAATGTAATTACTTTAAAATATAAACAGTCCGTATCTTTTAACAATACGGAAGTATTTAATAGTAGAATTATATAATATCTGGAGTGTTTGGAAAGAGCATGCTAGGTGAGGGTGTTTGGGCAGACTTGGTCATAGGTTAGTGATAAACACTCAAGGTTTTCAGATTATTCTGTTTACTTTTGTTTATTTGAGGTTTTCTTTGAAGTTTTCCATAATTAAAAAGATAGCAAAACAAAACAACAAAGGCAACAGAGAAGTGGGCTATCTTTGGGGCATAGCAAGCAGGCACATGGAGTCTATCTCAGAAGGAATTATGTTTGGATCAGAGGATGCGATCTGCTTTGAGGAAGCTTTGATTCCTCAGCTCTTAACAGGACCAGTGTGAGGTCCAGAGTGGTAGAAAGAAGCAAAGGATTTCTTCTCAGACTGACACTCGTCCTCATAGATCAGCCCCCTGCCCTGAAGACCTCACTCCACCCTAAGGGACCTGTCTATGGTTTTTTATTAAGATAAGTTTTCTTCCTCAGGTGTATGAGATGTGGGAGAGAGAGTTGTGAGTTACTCTTGCAGGTGTGGCTGCATTTATGATTGTGATTGGGGAGGAATGGATTTCATAAAGGAATTTGGATCCATTTAAGTTTCATTACACTAAATCTACATCATGAAGCTAAAAAAATGTACCAATAAAATAATGCTAAGAGTGGCAGCTAACATTTATTTAGACCTGACTTTCAGTCAGGCACTAAGCTAAACACTACACATCTATATGTGTTTATAGATAAAGTAAGACAGAGAGGTTATGTAACTGAGACAAGGTGGGAAAAGCTGAGATGTGACCGAGCTAGAATTCATACTTACTATATTAGTTTTCTAGGGCTATCAAAATGAAGTACAACAGAGTGGCTGACTTGGACAGCAGATATTTTTTTCTCCCACAGTTCTGGATGTTACATGTCTGAGATCATGGTAGCAGTAGGGTTGGTTTCTTGTATGAGCTGAGGGAAGGATCCATCCCAGACCTCTCCCCATGCCTTGTGGATGGCCATTATCTTCCATACCCTTCACATGGTCTCCCTGTCTATGTGTCTGTACCCACATTTCTCCTTCTGGTCATAATGGGTTAGGGTCCACCTTAATGACCTCATTTTAATTTAATTACCTCTTTAAAAACATCATCTCCAAATATGGTTACATTCTGAGGTACTGAGGGTTAGGACTTCAACACATGAATTTTGAGAGGATATAATTCAGTTTATAATACCTTCCTAGCTTGACTCCAAAACACACATTTCTTACTGTCTTCTCCAAACTGCCTGCCACCAAAGGGACACTGGCCTGGGTAAATGTCAGGCACATTCAACTCACACTTGCATTACAGGAACATGTCAAGTGTGACCTCTCAATGCACTCCTGCTAATAGGTAGAATTCAAGGGCCTACAACTGAGAGAGTCTTTGGCATCCTGTGATCAGAATGAAAAGAAAGAAATCTTTGATTTGGCTGATAGATGGACAAGGTGGTTCTTCGGCACATACTTCAGTCCCAGTGGATTCCTCAGGGACCTGGCCCTGTCTGTTACCTCCTTCCTTTCCTATATCTTCAAATTCTCTCTCAGTTTTCCCTTTCCTCTAAAACCTATAAAAATACTTCTTAAACACAAAAGCAACTTTAGCCCATGTTCCCATGTCCCCCTTCACTCTCTCTTAGTGACTGCTTTCTTGCCATCCTTTATTTCTTAGCCAAACTTTCTGAAAGCTCCATCTGCATTCACTCTTCCATCCTTCCTGCTGTGCAGCCCTGACTTCTCACAGAAAATATCCACATCAACCATATTTTTCATCTAATTTCTAGATCTACTAGTCACTTCCTGATCACTTTTTCTTTACTTCTTTGTCATATTTGACCTGCCCTTTCTTGAAACCCTCCTCCATTGATGCAGCAGTCAGAATAGGCTGTGTTACATGGCAATATAAATTAAATCCTGCACACATGCAAGCCCAGCACTTGTGAATCTGATGCAGGAGGATCACAAGTTTGAGGCCAGTCCAGGCAACATAGCAAGACTCCATCTCAAAAAAAAAAAAAAAAAAAAAAAGGGTCAAATTAACACCCCCCAGATCTCAGTGGCTTAACACAACAAAAGCTTATTTCATACTCATGCAAAATAGGATAGGATGCTCTTGAGTCTTCCATGATCATAAGCCTCTATTTTCCAGGCTGTTTCCATCTTGTGTTTCTGTCATTCAATAACATACCTCCATGTTTGCTAAGATAGTAGAAGACAGAGCTAGAGAGTCACACTCCACCTCTTCTGCCCAGAAGAGACACTGGTCATTTCCATTCACTGGTGATTGGCCAGAAATAGTCACATGACTTCAAGGGCACCAAGAATGTGGAAAAACTCATTGATATAAAGTAATGAGTGATGAGTAAATGTTTCCATTACCATGGCATCTATAACAATGTTTTCTCCCAACTCTTCCTTCAAGAGCAATTTTGTCCATGTCTTTCATAAATGTTAGCATTTCTTACAGTTCTATCCTCTATCTCTTGTCTTCTGCCTCTACATGCTCTCCTTATGAGATCATATCCATACTCACATCTTCAAAGATCATCAGTAGTCTAACTACTGGCAATCCATAGTGTCCATGTCACAGATCTAGATATATAATGATCACATTCTATCCAGAAGTAGCCTGCTAAGTATCCCTTCTAGATATTCTATAGACTATTGAAACTCATGGAACCAATGATCTCCCTCCTACCTCTCAAAAGAAAAACAAAAACAAAAACAAATAAACAACTATTTTCTGGATCCAAGCAATAACCAAAGGAGTTTTCCTTGATAGTTTCCTTACCAACAATTCTTTCAACTAACCAATCAATCTCCAAGTTAGTAGCTTCTACTTCATGAATTTCTCTAGACAGGGCCTCTTCACTCAATCCATATAGACATTTAATTCTCCTTCAGACTTTCACTATTTCACTATCTTGATTTCTGTGTTAACCTCCTCACTCATTTCTGTCTTATTATCACCTTCCAAATGTTCATTCCTTAATATGTCTTAAAATTCCATCAAAATAGGTACTATGCTTCCTAGGCAGTATATATAATATGTGCTAATCACACATAAATGAAAGAGATAGCTCTACACACAAGGTACTCACAATGTAGCCAGAACAGAAGGAAGTAATTGTAACACAGACAACTGAATACTTTGAGAGTTTAAAAGAGGAGCACATAAAACAGGGAGATCTTTACAAAAGGAAAGTCAATCATATTTTTCACCACCTTTAAATTTTTCTGTGGCTCCTCAGTACCTTCGCATAAAGTTCACACTTGTCAAATGGTAAGCCTCTTCTCCTGCCTCAGTTTCCCTGCACTCCCATGCCTCTGCTCCCTCACATGAGCTAATCCCTCTGCCCAGAAGCCCTTCCGAGCTCCTCTTTATTTTCTAAGCTCATAGAAAGCACCTATCCTCTGGAAGTCTTCCCTCAACTGCCAGCTCTGAGCTTCCTCTTGACATAGGCTATTACCATATTCTAATGGTCTCTACCCTAGAGAGAGGGACAGTATCTTTTTGTTTGTTTTGTGGTTTTTGAGATAAAGTTTTCCTATATAGCCCAGGCTGGCCTCAAGCACACTATGTAGCAGACTGGGTTCAAACTCACAATCCTCCTGCCTCCACCTCCCAAGTGCTGGAATTATAGTTGTGAATCACATGCCCAGCTGAAGGCAGCATTTTTAATTCCTTTGGAGTCTCCAGTACTGACTGGGTTGGGCACATCATAAAGTTGAAGAAATGTTTAACCATTTAATATTCTGCCTCATTCACATCCCACAGCACAGGCAAACACTCTGAATGGTGACTGTTTGCCTGGACTTTGAATAATCCCTGGGACTTTTCTTCTAGCCTTTTTATAAGTTGTTGATTTCCATTGTCTAATTATCCTCTGACTCATGGCAAGCCCTGGGCACCACACCCCATTTCTTCAAGCCTGCTAGTACCCTCAGCCTGCTTGTCATTTCACAGTGTGATAAGATAATTCTTTTACCTGCCTCTACCCAGTGCTCCTTCTCTATCACAATGTAGGGTTGTTGAATGTGGGGAGGAGGGAGTGGAAGGGGAGCAAATGAGACTGAAGTACTGAGCCTTAGTCCAGATACCAAACTCAACTTGTTTGCCAATATCCATAAAATAACCATGAATTATGAACATTTTGTTAATTTACTACATGGTACCACAGATGTGTGCATTGCCTTAAAGGACTGCATGGAGCCACAGTTATTTTTCTGCTGTGGCAGGGGGTTGCTTTTCCTTCCCTCCATCTCCCTGGCCTCCCCTCTCCCTCTCCTGTCTGATATAAAGCAGTTTAGCTACATGTTGAGTTGATGAAGAAGGCCCCTTGGGACATCACTGTCTGCCCCAGATGACATTTAAAAGTATTTCACCTAATCAAATAGAGAACTCTCTCCCTCAGAGGATTCTGATGACCAACATTCTCTACACCTCATTACTTGCAAGTCCTCACAGTTCTGCCATTTGGCTATAGATAAAGCTTGTACCTCCAGCCCCAAACAAAAAGTGTTGACAATTAGTAGAGCACAGCGATTACTCACTGGAAATCATTCCTTGGGTGAGGAGTCCATCCTATTCATTCTACTGAGTCACCACAGTGCCCCAAACAGTGTCCAACACACATAATGGATATTTGATGCTGCTGGTGGAATAGAGTAGTTTGAGGGATTAGTCAGCATCTCTGTGAGACAGGAAAAAAGATGATACACACTTGGAGATAGATAGAAGCTCCAGGTGAGTCAGAGACCAGTCAAGATATGACAGTCTTTAAGAGAGAATTGCCCTTTGGATAGAGTTTGCAATTCCTAGAATACGCATCTATTTCTCTACAATAAGTACCTGTGGTGACTACAAATTTTCTCTATATTTTAGCACTATGGTTTAACTGTTTGAGGTTCCCCACACACATAAATTAATAAATTGAAACTTAATCCCATTTGCAGGATTAAGTCACAGCCTTCACTAAATGAGGGCAACACAGACTTCAAGTATCAAAAATAGAACCAGTAAACTTAATGGATCAATATACTGCATTCATGCAAGAGCAGTGGAGCTTCAATGTTTCTCCCCAACTATGTCTTGTCATGTCTCATCTTACCTATTCAAAAATCTCTCTGACATTCTTTATACCAATGAAAAACCCCCATGTGAGATTTTGATGAAGATATTTGAAGTGTTATGTAGCCATCTTTGGGGTATTAATTCCTGATGAGACAACATCTAAGGCTATCTGCCTCATTATATATTAGTTCACTTGAACACATTTAAATGCCACACCATGTTCTAAAAGTATTTGCAAATACAGACAATGTAATACACACAAAAATTATATTGGTTTCATGATGGGACAAGAGTTGTAGAGGTAAAAGTAAAGGCCCCCTCTAGGAGTAGCAGTACAGGAGTCCAAATGGGAGAAAGCCAGAGGAAAGGGGATACCACATAGGTGGTGCTGGGCTTGGGCAAGTCAACTGATAACTCAGAATTTTGCTTAAAAAATGGTATGTGTTTGTTTTCATGTTAGAGACTGTTCCATCATCCCTGGACTCACAAGAACTAATTTCAGCCCTCATTTTATAACTCCCCATTTTAGAAGGAGCCGTTTATTCTCCTGCTGTCAGCACAAATGTAAAAATTAAGAACACATCTGATTGCACCTGTAGTTACCATCTTGCAGCCACAATTAGCCATAAGCACCCTCTGAAAATGGCAAAAGCTGTTAGGCCTGCCTGCAATTAAGTAATTGTGGGCATCATTAGTTACATCGTTAATCGTATGAGTAACTTTTATGGTCGCCATGGCTACCTTCTGATACAAAATTACCCACCCAACAAGGGAGCACTAGAGCTGAACAACCCCCACACTTTTCTTCTCCAATTTTGTGAAAATTGTGTGTTTTTTTTTCAATTATTTCACACAAGTGAATGGGGTATGTTTGCAAATACAAACTATGTCAAATGAAAATAAATTGTCACCCTGGGTCCTGTGTGTTATCTGTTTATCTTTTTTTTTTTTCTTTGTCATTTAACAGAGCAATGCAAGAATTTTTTTCTGGGAGAATAATTCACTTGTGGGTATGTAGGTGACCATATAATCTTTCATTTGTGTATTCTGTTCAACAAAGAAGGTTTATTTCACACCATAGTTATCATATTCCAATTTGAATATATGCTACAAATTTTCATCTGGAGAGCTTTACTCCCAGACAGATTTGAAATGTTTAGATCTTTTTCTCAGAGGGTTTTAATCTGGAAAGGAAATGGGTCCAGAGACCTAGGAAAATAGTTTCTGCTTGAAGAATGATGATCTGTGGAAATGTCATTGAGAAATGTATTCTTAATGAATCACCAGCATTAAAATGAAACATCATGTTCCTCTAAATTCCAAGAAATATATATTCACATAATAGAACAGAGTAGAGAGATGTATACTTTATATTTATTTATATAATATGGTCAAGGGGCTTCATATAACAACCAGTTAATCATCCCTCATTAAAAGATATGTTTCAGATTTACCCATCCCAGAGATGAGTTGCTAGGTTACCAATTCCACTTAAGGATTTAGAAAAGTATTGAATCTCTCTCTCTCTCTCTCCAGCTGCCATGAGTTGAGCAGACCTCCTCTGTCATGCACTCTTGCCATGATGTTCTGCCTTACCACAGGCCCAAAGCAACAAGACCAAGTGACCATAAACTGAAAACATGAACCAAAATAAATTATTCTTCCTTTCAAATTATTTATCTCAGATATTTTATCACCATGATGCAAAGCTGACTAACACAGGTGACTAAATTGTTCATAGTCTGTTGTCTATTGGCCTTATTTGACATTTGTAGAGAGGAAAGATTATATCAGGCTTTCTGACCCTAACCTTGGACAAAAGAAATCTGTCTCTAGATCAATGCTGTCCAGTTGAACTCTCAATGATGATGGAAATAGTCTTCATCTACAATGTCCAATGCAGTAGTTGCTAGTTACATGTGGCTAGTGCATGGTTGGAATGAAACTAGTATTCTGAGGAGCTGAATTTTTTATTTTATTTAATTTTAACTAATTTACTACTATGTTGTATGATGCAGCTCTAAAACATAGGGCTGCAGTCAGAAAAAGAGGGCAGCAGTGGTTCCAAATATGTTCAAAAGTGAGATAAACACATGGAAAGCTCAGAAGGCAAAGGCAGGAGGATTTTGAGCTTAAGCTCAGCCTCGGCAAACTTAGTGAGACACATCTCAAACACAATAGATAAACAAAGGGCAAGGAGCCTATCTCAAGAGGTAGACTGCTTGCCTAGCAAGTGGTAGCAATATGGCAGCAGACCAAGTCCCTACACACTCTCAAGTCTTCCTTCAGGATAAGGAACCAGAGTCTCTCTCACACATGTCTTATAAAGATCCCTCATTGTCTGGAACAACTAGCCCTGCTGAATCCTAAGGTCCTCCCTGGAGCCTGAGTTAGCTTAGATGCCCTGGAGACACAGGGACTAAGAATGAGGAGGGGGAACTGGGGCATTGTTCAAATGGTAGAGCTCTAAGTTCAAACCTCACTACCACCAAAAAAAAAAAGAAGAGGGTGTCCCCCAGAGGGAATACTGAGTACTTATAAGAGAAGAGTAAATTAATGGACTGCAGTAAAACATAACAGATGTCCTCCAGCATCCTGCTTCCCACTTTAAAAAACAAGATCTTGGCCCTTTGCATAATCACAGCAGAAATGATTAGGCTTCAATCAATTTAACTCATTTCAACAAACATACCCTAAGATCACCTAGGAGTGTTCTATTTCTAACCAGATGTTTGTAGTAGCTGTGACAAGGTATCGAATTTTGAAATTGTTTCTGACCTTCCACCTTCGTGCATGATATTACTTATATAGTGGACCAGATGTAGTTTTTTTTCTTTTGGTGGGACTGGGGTTTGAACTCAGGGCTTCACATTTGCAAAAGCAGATGCTGTACTGTTTGAGCCATACCTCCAGTCCATTTTATTCTGGTTATTCTGGAGATAGGGCAGTCTCTCAAACTCTGCCCAGACTGACCTCGAACCGGAATCCTCCCTATCTCAGCCTCATTCAGGCATGAGTTACCAGTGCCAGGCACTGATTAAATGACTTGAGTGGGGGGTTCCAAAGATCATTTATTTATGCTGATAATACTGATTGGAAACCCCAAACACTTTCTGCTGCTTTACTTTCTTTAATCCTGCTATTTATTCTATAAGGAAAGGAAGAATTAAGCAAGATAGTAGCTGCTCCTTGTGTATTCATTCAACAATTATAACACAACTATGTGTTACTACTGGTGTTTGGTGTGGGAAGAATCTGTTAAGAAAGCCAGATACTACACAGAAGTGCTATGGGTAGAAAAATCTGTCAGACCTGAATTTAAGTTCTGACTTTGCCAGAACTTAAATTTAACTGTGATTTGGAGACAAAGGCTTCATTTTTGAAGATTTCTAAAAATCCCTTTACTGGAAAAATCTGATTCCATGAAAGGTTAGATCCCATTAGCATGACTAAGGGATCCTGCTACCTAACCTTTGAGAACTATCTAGCATGCAGAAAAATACACCTTAACTCTCAGAATTCAGCACACAGACCTCCTCTGGGATTTAGGCTGGGAGGATCAAAATAAAGTAAGAGACACAAAAGGAACTTTTCATTAACTCCTAGAAACAGTTTTTCTTTTGGGGACCAGTCCAGTACAAAGAATCCCCAGGAGCCAGGACCCACCCCTATGCAGGGCAGGGTTCAGAGAAAGAAGGGACTTGTAGAATAATTCTCTAGCTGGAGGGACTTGAGGAGGACATAACAGGCCTTTGGTAGGTTTGGGGCAGATCAGAACTGCAGCTGGGAGGCTGATAGCAGTACACCTGTGGTACACCTGTGTGCAAAGGGGTCCCAAAGGTAACCACACTTGCCTTTGCAGATCTGCAGACTCAGCAGCTCTGAGTTCCAGAATCCTGCATCCAATTGCTTACCTAATATCTCTATTGGACAATTCATATGTGCTAATTAAAAAAAAAAAAACTCTATTGGAGGTACCACTGGCACCTCAAATTCAACTGTCCCAAACTGAATTCCAGATCTATCCCCATCCTTATCCTCAATAGCCTGATTTCTTGAGTGTCCTCTCTCTTAATACATGGAACCACAGAATTGAGTTGTGCAAGTCAGAAACCTAGTATTCCATCCCATGATAACTGTTCTTTCTTCTCTGATTTTACCTCTCAAATTCTACTTTGCATTTCCTCCTCTGCTCTGGACTGAATAAGTTGATACCTTCTTCTGGAATACTGCAACCACTTCTTTACTGGTCTTCTTGCATCCACCATACAGTGTGTGTAGGATTTTCTAAATGTACTACTCTGACAATGCCATTCCTCCAACAAAAACTTTCAATGCCTTTCTTAACTGAAAGCAAAAAAAAAAAAAAAAATCCACACTTTATACCCTTGTAGAATTTTCAGTATAGCAGCTTTTTTTTTTGAGGGGGAGGCCTCAAACTTGCAATCCTCCAACCTCTGCCTCCTTGAGTCAGATATGCACCATAACCACACCTGGCACTACAACATAGTAGCTTTAATCAAATACAGCGATCCATCTAAAATTTCAAGAAGTTTAAAGAGAAATACATGGCAATACAAAGAAACTTACTTAGGCAGGGAGATCAAAGAAGGCTTCCCAGAGGAAATAAAGTTTGAGCTGAGATTTAAAGGTAAGATTTGGTAAGGTTTAAATAGACAAAGAAGTGAGAGAACAAGAGAAAATGTTCCAGGTAGATGAAGATGTTTAAAGGGCCTTATGGCAGGAAGGAATAGACTAAAAGAATGTCAGTGTGATCAAGTTTGTGAGGGAATCATAGTTCAAGAAGACAGAGATAGACAGGCTATGTAGACAATCAAAAAAATTTTTTTCTTTTTTTGATGGCACTGGGGTTTAAACTCAAGACTTCATACTTCCAAAGCAGTCACTCTACCACTTGTACCACACCTTCAGTCCATTTTTGCTTTGGTTATTTTGGAGATGGTATCTCACAAATTATTTGCCTGGACTGGCCTTGAACTGTGATCCTCTCTATCTCAGCCTCCCAAGTAGCTAGGATTATAGGCATGAGCCACTGGCACCTAAAACAATTTTGACTGTATCCTAAAGTAGTTGGAAGATGCTGAAGAGTTTTCTGGATATGATATTCTTGATTGGCAGTTTTTATTCTTTCAGCGCTTTGAATATTTTGTCCCATTGCCTTCTGAACTCCGTTGTTTTTGATTTTAAAAAATCAGCTTTCAGTCTAATTATGGTTCCCTTGTATGTGCTGAGTCATTTTTCTCTTGCTGCTTTCAAATTTTTGTCTTTGAAATTTTCCTTCAGAATTCTTACCATGATGAGTCTGACTATGGATCTCTTTGCCTTTGTCCTATTCAGAACTTGTTAAATTTCTTGAATTGTAGATTTTTCTGAGTCTCTGTTTATTTTTCTTCATTTTTCCCCTTTGTTCTTTAGTCATATAACCTCTATCAGTCCATCTTCAAGTTTGCTAATTCTCTCTTCTTCCAATTCAAATTTCCCCGCAAGTAGGCTATTAAATCCTTCTAGCAAAATTCTCATTTTAGTTACTATATTTTCCAAATCCAGATCTTTTATGTGTGTGTGTGTGTGTGTTTGTGTATAATTTCTGTCTCATTGTTGATACTCTCTATTTGATGACACATTATTATCACACCTTTCTCTACTTCATTAAACATGATTTCCTTTAGTACTTTGAACAAATTGATAATATCTGACTTGAACACTTTGTCTATCAAATGTGACATCTGGCTTAGCTTTCTCAAAGCACTTTCTGTTGCCTGCTTTGTTTCTTTGTATAGGATCACAATCACACATTCTTGTCTGTATGATCTTTTGTATGGACATTTGAGGCAACATAGTGTAAAATTTAGGATATTCTCCTCTCCGCCTCTGGGCACATTCCCACCCCCCCACCCCACCCCCAACCTTGTCTTGCCATTGTTTGCTTGTTTGATGGTTTTGTGGCACACCTGGATTATTTTAGCCAAGTCTATTTCACTAACAGTGTGGAGCCCCTGATGTCGCTCCTCAGAGGACAAAGTTGCCTTGGCCATGTGTGGTCACCATGGATGACAGTATTTTTAGCAGGATTTTTTCTCTTTCCCTGATCTCTCTGTTAAGCTGCTTGCCTTTGTTAGGCTCCACTAATTGCCAGTTGATTGCTTTATTGTTTTTGACAATGCCCTGTAACATAAATTACTCCATAATCTGATTCAATTAAACTCCATCCCCAGGGGTTGTTTCTGAGCCCAGTGTTTAAAGTTTGTTCTGACCCCAAGAGAGGTCTTCTGAGCTGTCTCTTTCCCTGGTTCTCTCTGGTAAAGTAGTTGGCCTGTGGTTCAGTTTCCTCTGCTATGAAATTACTAACTTGCTCCCAACTGCTTACTACCAAAATTTCCATTGTTTTTTGAGAATTGTTAGACTTGAATTTCCCACACCATGCTTAAAGTAAGTCACTTTCTTTGAGGAGAGCTTCAGAGCTCTCTGTTCTTAGGGATCCTATTCCCCAGGGCAAAATCTCTGAGCCACTGCTGTGAAGGTGGGTTCAGAATTATTATCACTCTTGTGGTAAGAGCACCTGCCTAGAACTGTATCTGCTTCTCTTGGACTGACATCCCATACAGTGTGCAAGATATAAGTAGGAGCCACTGGTCCTATTTCACCTCTCCTGGCATGAAACCTCCACCCAACAAGTGAGCGGGACCAAGGACTAATAGGACTCCAGTATTCTTGGCCTGCTATACTTACCTATAAGTGAGAGGTGAATGGAGGAAGAGAGCCTTGGGCAGCTCAGCTGTACGCTTAAGAAATTTAGTCTTAAGGCTGGGCATTGTGGCCCATGCCTATACTTAAGAGGCAGACAGAGATCAGGAAGGATCATCATGGGTTGAGGCCAGCTGAGGCAAAAAGTTAGTGAGACTCCATCTCAACAAACAAGCTGAGCAGCTGCTCAGGAGGCAGAAGTAGGAGGATCACAGTCTGAGTTCTGCCTGTGAAAAAAGTACAAAATTATGAAACCTTATCTGAAAAATAACAAAAGCAAAAAAGGGCTGGGGGCATGGTTCAAGTGATCAAGAACCTGCCTAGTAAGTGTGAAGCATTGAGTTCAATCCTCTCCCCCACTCCAAAAAAAAAAAACCAAACAAACGTAGCCTCTGCAATTCAGAGGTGAGGGATAACAAATGCTAGTGGCCCACCATTTCTAGGGTGGTGCTGGGAGCAAAGGGAAGAGAAGCTTCATTTTCTTGGTGACATTTGACCAGACTGGAGCTCTGTCATCTAAATCAAATGGGAAGAGAGGAGGGAGACAGTGGGCTGTGTCAAAGACTTGCTCTTCTCATCAAGATCTAGTAGATTTTCTTTAATTAATGTTTCTTCATTTGTTATATGTTCTTAGGACAATTGGCTGTTATGTTTCAATATACTATTCACTAGTTACAACTGTTTCTCTAAGGAATGGTTCCTTCCATAAAGTTCCCACATCACTGTTCCAGAAGTGGAAATCCTGAGAGTTTTAAGGAGGGGTTTTCAGCATGGTCAAAAGATCCTCTGGCTACTGGGTGAATATGCCAATGGAAGAACAGACTGTAAGCAGAAAGGCCAGTTAAAAGATACAAGGAGTGTGCAAAAGAAAGATAATATTAGTCGAAGTGGTGGTGTGAAGACAGTGAAATGGATAAGAACCACATCTTTTGTTCATTTTGTAATCCCAGAACTTAACATGTGGTAAGTACTCAATAAATCTTGTTGAATCAAAGAATGAATGATTGCTGCCACCTTTGGAGTTAAACCTACACATTATCTAGTTTCTCATTATTGACTTCTTTTGCTCTGATCCTGGTTTATGGCAAGGCTTATTTTTTAGAAAAAGTTGAAAAATTATAGTAGGAATTCTAATATGTCAGAGTGCCTTTGTGTATCTTCAGACAGAACATCTCATCTGAACAGAAAACCTTCACAGAAGAGAAAACATTTGATACTTGAAGAGTAATACTGGCAAAGCTATTCAGGAAAAGAGAGGAAATTCCGAACTCCGATGACTACTATCTTGTAAAGACAAAAGCAACATTTTAATTAACAGAAAGTCTGAAATATCTGCTATACTTATAATCCTAATAAGTTTATCATTTTCCTTTCCTCAGTATCTTGAAATATAAATTAAGGAGGTAGAGTGAGCTGATCTGTACAGATCTGGACAGCTCTAATGTTCTAAGAGTCTGTGCACCTGTAAGTGAAATCTGTAAGAAAGGAACAAAATGCTCTTCCTAACAGATGCTAAATTTGAACCAGGACCAATGCATTTAATTTGGATTATGTGGGGTTTTTTTTTCCTTCTTACCCTTGAATTTCACACACATGAAACTATAATTTAGCAGAGAACAAAGACAAAAAAAGATTTGATTAAGCAAATAATCATTAGTTTGGTCATTGGCAAGAGTTTCAGAGTTCAGAAACATCTAAATGAATAAACATTAGCCCAATCTTCTGCCATCTTCATGTACTTATTTGATTTCTAATAATAACTTCCATTTTCAATTACTTTGTAAAACACATTGGCCATCAATGGGTCCTTTGAAAATCATATGAAATATATGGCCACCTTCTTCCACACACATAGAAAGATATACTTATCCACAATAACCTAGCAACTTGAGGAGGTTTCCCCAAACTTAAGAGCCTGGGGTTCCAGAGGAAGTTTATATTGTGATTTTAAATTTTCAATGGGCATTTTCATATCTTGTTTATCACATATAACATTATAAGTAAAGTAATATTAGATTCATCTTACATATGAAGAAATTCCATCTCAGAGGGTTTACTGTTGTTTTCTTACCCAGGAAAGAAAGAGAAATCACTGAGGCTCCCTTTTCTCCAGAGCTCTGGAGAAAAAGAGGAAGGGAACTTAAAGCCCATGCTCTGCAAAGACTGATTCCCTAAGGAGGGACCGACTTACCCCAATGAGAAGGGCATGCCAAAGCATTATGCCTCTTCTCAATTCCAGAGGCTACAAAGACATTGCCTTCTTGCTGAGCCTAAAAAGGGAGAAAGAATGAAAAAAAAATTGACAAGTTAATCCTTTCTCAAATTCCTGTCACTAAATTTGATTGGTCTAAAAAAATTGCAACTTCTGAATTTATTTTAAAATGGTTCTGAATTGTCAATGCCTTTAAACACCTGGCATAATCAAATGTGCATCTTTTCTAGAGGAAAATGCCTTCATTCCAGATTGCAATGCTTCCCCATGTGTAATTTTTCAAATAAATGAGTAGCACTCAGTCAAAAATAATCAAGCACACAAGCACGGCTCCATAAGGGAGAACCAATAGAAACTACAGAACAAATAAACAATACTTCCAGACTGTAGCAGATTTCTGATGTTGGAATTATGAGACCCAAGCTATACAACAACTATGCATCATTTTTTTAATAGCTGGGAAAGGGAACATTTTTAAGAAATTTCTGGAGGAATCTCACTTTTAATTGAAGAAAAAGAATAAGGAACAGGAAAGAATAAAAAATATCTAGCAGCTTTCTCATTCTTGTTCTCACTCTAGAGAAAACCTGCTTTTAGTCTATTGATAGTATATTCTTTTCCTAATAAACTATCACTCTTACTATAAAAACAAATCTAACATATTTTTCAGAGAACCAAAATGTTTTTTTTTTTTTCTTGGTGGTACTAGGGTTTGAACTCAGGGCCTCACACTTGCTAGACAGACACTTGACCACTTGAGCCATTCCACCAGTCCTTCAAACAACCAAAATGAATCTCTATAAATAAAAATTATAATAACCCAAATTAAATACTCATAATATATTAATATAACTGAAGACAGAATAGTTGAGCTAAAAATATGTTAGATGAAATTACCCAGAATGTCACATGAGAGACAAAAATACAGAAAATAGAAGCATTAGAAGGTGTGAAGACAGAACGAGAAGGTGTGATGTGTACTCTGACTCCATTGAAGCGCCCTAAGAAGGACACAGAATGTCTGCCACTCCTCTCATCTCTCTTTATTTCTATTGTAAAATTATTTAAGCATACATGAAAGAAAAAAAGTAGGTAATAGTGCCATGAAACACATATGTCCATTCCCCAGATGCCACAGTTGTAAAGACTGCCACATTTTTCCTTCCTTCCTCTCTTCTTTCCTTCCTTCCTTCTGTTCTTTTTCTTTCTCTTCCTTCCTTCCTTTCTTCTTCTCTTTCTTTCTTTTCTTCTTTCTTGTTATATTTTAAAGCCATTCCCAGAAGTCATATTATGTTGCTTTCCTTCTAAAATGGGGAGTTATAAAATGAGGGCTGAAATTAGTTCTTGTGAGTCCAGGGATGATGGAACAGTCTCTAACATGAAAACAAGCACATACCATTTTTTTAAGCAGAGCAAAGTTCTGAGTTATCAGTTGACTTGCCCAAGCCAGCACCACCTATGCGGTTGCCCCTTTCCTCTAGCTTTCTCCCACTTGAACTTCTGTACTGCCACTCCTAGAGGGGGCTTTTACTTTTACGTCTACAACTCTTGTTTCATCATGAAACCAAGATAATTTTTATGTGTATTACATTGTCTGTATTTGCAATGAAACAACCTCATAGGTTCATAGTAAGAATTAAAATAATTAAATATATAGGTTTTAGGATATAGTAAGTGATCAATAAATTACTATTTGTCTTGCATACATTTAAAAATATTTTGTATGCTTCTAAATTTAAAAGCATCTATTGCTATTATCACAGAAAAGATACTTTTCAAAAAACCATTTCTACCTTTGTATCCATATTTTCACATTATTATGGTGTGGATATGAAGCATCCCTCCAAAAGGCTCATGTATTGTATGTTTGGTCCCCAATGCAATGTTCAGAGGTGGAGCTTTGGGGGAAGAGATTGGACCATGAAGTTTCTGATCTAATCAATGGTTTAATCCATTGATGGACTCATAATTGAATGGACTATAAGGAGGGGATGAAAACTGTGGAAGGTGAGGCCTGACTGGAGGAAATGAGTCACTGGAGACATGCCTTTAAAGGGTGTACTTTGTCCTTGACTCTTC